TCTGTCCAGAACCCTCTGTTGTGATCCCGGTCAGAGCAGTCAGTGGTGGTAGCCGGGCACCATCTAGCTGTACTGGACTCAGTCTGGTGGAGGCTCTTTTCATTTTTTACAAATAAGGAGAGACTTTCTGTTGTTAGCATGACTGTCACACCTGGGGCAGGTCACTTAGCTCTCTATAAGCCTCTATCTACTCTTACCTAAAATAGGTATAACACCTCACAGTGTTCTTGTGGGAATAACAGTGATAAGGAATAGCAAAACAAAGTGGCAGAAGCCCGCGGCATGCTGAACCCTTAAGGCTGGTGGGTTCATTTCTCAAATACTCACTCTTTTCTGCTCCACAGTGAAGCTGTGTGTTTACCAAGACTCACTGTATCCACTTCCTGTTTAACTGATGTTTTCTATTCATCACCGAAATTCCAACTATGGTGCGATCGTATCAGATAACAAGGTTGCTTCTAGCCCATATGACCCCTTAGTATGAATCAGAAAAAGGCATTCCTTCCTGAACACACTTTACTTCCATCTGTTGTGAAGCTGTTAGAATAAACATACAAATCTATAACCTGTACAGCACATGCAACAGCCCTGCACTTACTGTGTATAAAGGTGCTTACTGGCATCCAATAAGTATATGATTCAGTTCAGCTGATAGGAAAGGAGGTAAAACCAAGAGATGAAAAGGGGATGTGGAGGATTAGGTGAGAACAGAGGTCTCATTGAGGTGAGGAGTAAGAGCACTCAAGGAGAAGAAGCTGTGGGAGAGCCAGATGTTAAGGAATGTATACATATATGGCCAATTGACTTTCAACCTGGGTGTCAAGCCCATTCAATGGGGGAAAAATATTTCTTCACAAATGGTGCTGGGACAACTGGATATCCACATACAAAAGAACAAAGCTGTGCCCATACCTCATACCAGACACAAAAATTAACTCAAAATGGATCAAAGACCTAAATATTACAGCTAAAAACATAGAACTCTCAGAAGAAAACAGAGGTAACATTTTAAGACCTTATTTTTGACAAGGATTCTTAGATATGACACCAAAATCACAAGCAGCAACAACAACAACAAAAAAGATAAACTGGACTTCAAAATTAAAAATCTTTGTGCATCAAAGGACTTTATTAAGAAAGTAAAGAGAGAACCTACAGAGTGGAGACATTTTTGGTAACCATGTAGCGGATAAGGGTTTAATAAACAGAATATATAAAGAATTCCTACAACTGAACAATAAAAAGACAAACACTCCAATTAAAAAATGGGCAAAGGACTTGGATCAACATTGCTCTAAAAAAAGATATACAAATGGCCAACAAGCATATAAAAAGATGCTCAGCATCATTAGTCATTCCAAAACTAAAACCAAACCCACTGCCGTAGAGTCAATTCCAACTCATAGTGGCCCTACAGGACAGAGCAGAACTGCCCCATAGGGTTTCCAAGGAGTGGCTGGTAGATTCAAACTGCTGGCCTTTTGGTTAGCAGCTGAGTTCTTAACCACTGTGCCACCAGTGCTCCATTAGGGAAATGCAAATCAAAACCACAATGAGGAAAAAAAAATACCATGAGATACCACTTCACACTCCTAGGATGGCTATTATCAGAAAAATAGAATATAACAAGTGTTGGTGAAGATGTAGAGAAACTGGAATCCTTATCCACTCTTGGTGGGAAAGTAAAATGATGCAGCCGCTGTGGAAAATAGTTTGGCAGTTCCTCCAAAAGTTAAACATAGAATTACCATACCAATTAAACCAGTTGTCATCCAGTCTCCTCCAACTTATGATAAGCCCATGTGTGTCAGAGCAGAACTGTGCTCCATAGGGTTTCCAATGGCTGATTTTTCAGAAGTAGATCACCAGGCTTTTCTTCTGAGGCACCTTTGGTTGAACTCAAACCACCAACCTTTCCGTTAGCAGTAGAGTGCATTAACTGTTTGCACTACTGAGAGACTCCAGAATTACTCAGCAGTTCCACTCTTAAGTATATACGCAAAAGAATTGCAAGCAGGGACTCAAACAGATACTTCTTGTATGACAACCTTCACTGCAGCATTATTCATAATAGCCGAAAGGTGGAAACAACCCAAGTGTCCTTCAACAGATGAATAGATAAACAAAATGTAACAGATACATAGAATGGAATATTATTCAGCCATAAAGATAAATGAAGTTTTGTTACGTGTTACAACATGGATGAACCTTGAAAACATGCTGGGTGAAGTAAGTCAGATACAAAAGGATAACTATTCTATGATCCCACTTACATGATAGAATAGATATAGAATGGGTAAATGCATAGAGACAAAAGTTTATTAGCGGCTACCAGGGGCCGAAGAGAGGAGAAATGGGGAGTTATTGCCTAAGCGGTTTTCTATTTGGGGTGACAAAAAACTTTTGGAAATAGACAGTGATAATGGTTGCACAATACGGCCAATGTAATTAATGCCACTGAACTGTACGGTTAAAATGGCAAACTTTTTGTTATATATATATTACCACAACAAAAAAAATTGTCATTATTTTGTAATTTTTTCTCTAATAACGAAAAAATACTTACTGGATTAAGATGAAGGACTGAACATGCTATTCTATCCTCTCCTCCCCTAAACTGGAGGGTGTGGGGAGACAGCTATTTCAACTATTTATTCTGAAATAATTTTAGACTTAGACAAGAGTTCCAAAGAGTCCTGGTATACCCTTCACCCAGCTTTTCCTGATGTTAACATCTTACATAACCATGGTATAAATCACCAAAACGAACAAATTAACACTGGCACAATACTATTAACTAAACTACCAAATGTATTAGGATTTCCCCAGGTTTTCCACTAATGTCCTTTTTCTGTTGTAGGATCCAATCCATGATACCATAATGCATTTGGTTGTCATGTCTCCTTAGTCTCCTACAATTTGTGACTGTCTCTCTCCTTTCTTTGTCTTTCATGACCTCAACAAAGTGAACTGGTCAAATATTTTGTAGGATGTCCCTCATTTTGGGATTGTCTGAGATTTCTGATGATTACACTGGGGTCACAGGTTTTGGGGAAGAAGACTCAGAGGGGAAGTGCCTTCTCATTGCATCATATTAGGGGGTGCATGACACCAACATGGCTACTCACTGGTAATGTTAACTTTGATCACTGTAAAGTAACCATTTTTCCCTCTCCAAACGCTCTTATAAGTGAGTCATTAGGTATACCCTACACTTAAGGGGACAGGAATTAAGTCTCACCTCGCAAAAAAGTGGAGTATCAAAGATTTGAGGACAGATGTTAAAACTGCCACAGTAATTCATAAATATTTGGGGGGAGATACTTTGAGGCTATCCAAATTATTTCTCCTTAAAGTTATACTCAATTCTTGCCTGCAACAATTATCCCTGTGGTGTTCTAATGGTGATTTTATATTTCCCTCAATCCTTCTTCATTTATTAATTTAAAATTTTCTGTAAGATGGAGTAGTCCCTTCTCCCCATTTATTTATTCAATCATTTATTTATATCAGTATAGATTTATGGTAGTTATTTTATTCTTGAGGTTATAAGCCAATTTTTCTATGTGCCGTTCAGTCAATTTCGACTCACAGTGACCCTATAGGAGAGAGTAGAACTGCCTCATAGGGTTTCCTAGGCTGTAATCTTTACAGGTGCAGATTGCCATGTCTTTTCTCCCATGAAGCTGCTGGTGGGTTCACACTGCCTACCTTTCAGTTAGCAGATGAGCACTTAACCAGTGCACCACCAGGGCTCCTTTATAAGCCAATACTATTATTTATCTCATTGCTAAAATTGTTCCAGCTTTGGGCATGGAAGCTCTTTCAGGCTGGCTTCTGCTTCTTTCCGGCATGTTCCACCACTACCCTCTAAACATCCCCTTCTTTTTAGCACTTTCTTACCTTCTGGTACTATCAAATATGC